TGTGGACATTAAAATGCCATTGTAAACCTGAGAATAGTTTCAGTAGAGTGGCAAGACCAGAATTCAGAGTGCAAGGAGTTGAGGATTAGGAAGTGAGTGTTTTGATTAGAGATAGCACAGGAGGGCCAGCTGAAATGTGTCAAAGAGAGCCCAGTAGTAGACAGAAAGAAGTGCAGAGTAAAGCAAGAGCTCCTGCCTCACTTCCTCAAGTCCTTCACTCTTTCTTTCTTCCTCCCCTTCCACCCTACCTTTCCTTTAGCTTCATTCCCATAGAAGTTTTCCACTGTACGAAAAGATTGAGAGGATATTATAATGAAACCTCATGTATTCATCACATAATTTCAACAATTTTATACTTTTTTATTTTTGCCTGTAAAAGACTTTTATTTATTTATTTTTTTAATGCAGCAGATTTAGGCATATTCACACACTTGGGAAAAATAGACAATAGAGATGGACCAGTTGAAGATTTAGAAGGGAAAGGTGTTAGAGCAAGGTACTTAAGAAGGAGCCAAGTGATAGAATGGTACAGGTGGAGAGCCTGGCTTTAAATAGTAAGAAAAATACTTTAATTGAATTGAGAGGGAAAGAACTAAGAATCACTGTCCCTCTGAAATTTGGTTAAAGTTACAATTTTCTGAATTGGGCTTACTTCCTCTAGTTTCCCTCTGCCACTGCACTCCACATGAGGCTGCCTCAGGTCCCCCTTGAAGTCATACACTATTTTTTTATGAAATGTCTATTTCACCCAAGCATTTTATGAGTTCTATCACTTTACTAATGTAGGGTAGAAGACTTAGTTTTACCTTCAGTAAGGTACCTTTTGTCCTTGGCTCTGGAGAGATGACCCTTGGCATAATTGAGGTTCATTGGTCTGGGACTTCCAGGCCACACCTGAGAATTTTTTCTGGTAATAGGGTTCTGTCTAGACTAGAAAAGACTCCCCTGGGAGACTGATATCAGTTAGCCTCGGGAAACATGATTTAACTTATTACTCATGCCTAGCTGATAAAAGCCCAGAACATTAAGGCTCACAGAGCTTCCTAGTTTAGGTGAGAATATCTGCTCTTGGGTAGCGCGTTCTGTGGGATATGGAAGCTTCATGATGGAAACCATCCCATACCTCAACCTATGTGTTTCTTCATTTGTATTCTTTTTGGTTATAATAAATCTTTGGTCGTAAGTGTGGTATAATCTCTGTGAGTTCTGTGAGTCATTCCAGGGAATTATTGAATGTAAATGGGCAGCGGGAGCCAGCAAGTCAAAATAAATAAATAAATAAAAGCATGTTGTATGGACTCCTGGGCTTGCCGCTGGCATCCAGAAGGTATAGTGGGAAAACAGCCCCAAATTGATGGCCACTAGGCCAGGAAGTTGGGGTATCAAATAAACTCCTCAAACTTGAGCCGGGCATCTGCTTATTTGGCAGTCTGAAAGATGTATCCTTTTAACCTGTGAACTCTGACCTACTTCTGGGTTGCTTGGTTCATAAAGAGAGAGGCATGCCCCTTGGGGGCATCCGATGAAGGTTGAAACGTGGAAATGTGGGATCAATCTCCACATTATGACAGTTGGATTCATGCTGATTCTTATTGTGCAACTAAAAGATGTATGGTCTATAGAGAGTAGTCACATTACAAAGAACAAACTTTTACCATCCTCCATCTTGTGGGCAGCCTCCCTCACCTCTCCAAAGCAATAGAGAAATTGTTCTCCTTGTCTTACATATAGAAAAAGGAATCCCGGGGAACAAAATGTTCTCCATTACTTTGCATAAAGATTAAGTTCATGGTGCCAAGTCTAGAAATGAGTGAATTTATGCTTAATGGTAACAGTTTTGAAGGAGGAAGAGAGTTCATTTGGAAGGAGTTCATTTGGCTTGGAATTGTGTGGGATAAGGCTTTTTAGACAAGGCAGGTGTTTGGAATATTGCCAAAACCTTTAAGCTTTGCCTAAAGTGATGTCTTGCCTTCAAATAAAAGATAAAAATAGCACACACACCCATACACACACACCTAGGAATGTTAGACTTCTGTGAAGGGGTACTTAATTAAATGGGTGGGACTGCCAACTGATCCCCTTTTACGTTGACTTTGGGAAGATAAGTTTAGGAGATGGTATCAGGTGAATTTCCTCTATGTAAACCTGAGTAAGAGAGTATTTGCATGAGCATCATCCTACACATTCATTATATAACAGCTTAATCCTAGAGGAAAAACTGTATAGCCTAAGCATTTTCTAAAGCTTTCTATTTCCCCAGTATATTTCCCTTCCTGGAACCCTTTCTATCTGTGACATTATATACTGAGCACCCAACAGTAGTAAGAGTGATGCCTGAAGTTAATGATTTCAAGATCATTTCTCTGCATTCTCAGAAGACTTCAGTGGTTGATTTTTACTATGTACCAATTGGACAAAAAATTGGCTCATTTTCTTGATAGAGAAAAATGATATAATTTGGAAATAATTGACCCCACAAGAGAAAAATGGATAGATTTTTTAACAATTATTTGGGTAATTGTATTGTTAAAAGGAATAAATGACTTGGAGTTAAGTATCATAAATGTAACAATAGAAATATTATATGTGCATGAATATATAAATGTGCATTGTAATTCTTTACGCTTAGCATATCTTCTACATTTAAAGTACTTTTCTTATAGTGGAGAAAACAGAAAGGCTAAATAAATGATTCAGTAGTGTATCCTCAGGATATAGAAATTTTTGACCACAAATATAAAACTATATCCTTAATATGTATTGCTTTAAAATGTTCCACCAAATTAAAATCTCAGAAAAAATAAATCAGTCCAATTACTTTTCATTATACTCCTGTGATGGTGTTTTTATCTTAAATTTGATTAGTAGATGTCAATCTTTCCAGGAGCTTTGGTGGCACTATGGTTAAAGCATTGAGGCTAACCAAAAGGTTGTTGATTTGAATCCACCAGCTGCTCTGTAGGAGAAAGACAAGGCAGTCTGATTCTGTAAATATTTACAGGCATGGCAGCCCTTATGGTTAATTTCTACTTTGTTCTGTAAGGTTGCTATGCTTTGGAATTGACTCAGTGGCAGTGGGTTTATTTGTTTGTTTGTTTGTTTAGTCTTTCCAGTGAATGATGGCAGGAGTTTAAATCGGCACCAAAAGGCTATGCAAAAACTTGATGCTTTGCATAAAATTGAGGTTTTCCCAGGAGGATAAATACCAAAGTTCAGTTTTTATGTCCACAAAATATAGATGTTTTTGTGTTGTTTTAGAACTTTAATAAGGAAAAAATCACTTTATTCCCATGCATTTAAAGTTATACAATTAAGTAGAGCAAACTGTGTTACATGGACAGTGTTGCATGGATGATGTTACGTAGACTGCATTTTAACAAACAGGCATGGAAAGTATTATCGTCTCAATATTATGTGTGAGAAAACTGAACTCTGAGAGGTTGTAATTTTCCCCATGTAAGCAGGTGAGAGAAGAGTAGAACCAGAGCCAGGCTCTTGGTTCCTAACTCAAAACCCTGCTTCCTTCCTTGCTCCAATATGTGGAGTTGCTGGCAGCCTGTAGTAAGTGATATTTCCATGTTGACACACAGTCTGTGCTCATGTATAGGCAGTACATTCTTACATATTAGAATTCAAAACCAGCAATATTGTGGTCTTGAACATGGGTGTTGTTGTTATTTGTTGTTGTTATGTGCTATGGAGTCAATTCTGACTCATAGCGACCCCTCCTTGGGTTTCCAGGCGGTATCTCTACGGAAGTAGATTGCCCAACCATGCTTCATTTAAATGAGCCACATCTTGTCCCCACAAACTATTGCTTCTTATAAACTGGAAAAACCCATTATCCATAAGTCATTTTAAGAATTAAACAGCTAAAATTGGGACTTCTGAAAACATTAGGAACTATCAACCCAAGACATAGCTATTCTCAGTAACAGTAAAGTTCTTATTTCTTCAACTCTCTGCAGGAGTTATGAATATAACAGAAGACTAAAGAAAGTGAACATTGTGTAGTCAGCATATAAGTAACAGAAGTTCCACAGATAGAGAGGTGCTCACTGACCAATTTGTTATTGTGTGCCTTCTGTTTATGTACGTATTACTGCTGTGTGTTGAGGGTCATCAAGAAGAAGTATCAGACACAGTATTGGCTCCCCAGAAGCTCATCAGCCAATTGAGGAGACAAAACAGACCATATAAAGAACCCTACATATTCAGACAGATTGCAATCTTGTCAGGAAGGTGTCTTAATTTTAGTTGCTCCTGAAGCATGCCCTGAGACAGGATTTGAGTACATGCAGTTATTTTGGAAAGAGTAGGGAACACTTTGGAAGTGGAAGAAGGAAAATGAGACAGGAAAAGGGAGGCAGTTAACAGAAGTTATGTTATTGAGACAATTTTGTTGTTGTTAGTTGCTGTCAAGTCAATGCCAACTCATGATGACCCCGTGTGTGCAGAGTAGATGGAACTGCTCCGTAGTGTTTTCAGGGCTGTGACCTTTCAGAAGCAGATTGCCAGGCCTGTCTTCTGTGATGCCTCTGGGTGGGCTTGAACTGCCAGCCTTTCAGCCAGGAGTCACACACTTAACCATTTGCACCACCCAGGGACTCCTTCAGGCAGCTGTCACATAGAAATCAGTCATATCAGCATATACTGGGAAATGATATAGAACACATGCCTCAGAGTTATTCTTCCTAAGAAGTCAGGGAGCTGGGCTAGTTATACTCCAGCTTTCATTAGTCATTGACTGGGGGCTCTCCCAGGGGTGTTAATTCCTCAGCACTTCAGCCTGCCAGGCTCCTAGGAAGAACAGCCTTCTTCAGTTCCAGAAAAGTCCCTCAGACACACAGTGATGTGCATACTGACTACTGAAAGTCAGTCTGTTGCACATAAAACAGAAGGGTTCAAAGAATATGGGCAAAGAACTGACAGTATGTCTGCCACAGTAGGATTCTTGGTGGAGGTGAGACTTGAAAGTGCTCTTTTTCTTCTCTCTCCAGGCCTCTTCATGACTCTATCCCTGTTGTCCATTGTGTATGGAGCCTTGCGCTGTAACATCCTAGCCATCAAGATCAAATATGATGAATACGAGGTCAAAGTGAAGCCTCTCGCCTACGTCTGCATTTTCTTCTGGAGGAGCTTTGAAATTGCCACTCGAGTCGTGGTCCTGGTCCTCTTTACCTCTGTCCTGAAGACCTGGGTGGTGGTTGATGTGTTTGTCAACTTTGTGAGCTTCTTCTTGTTCCCCTGGATCTTCTTCTGGTGCAGTGGCTCCCCATTCCCTGAGAACATCGAGAAAGCACTCAGTCGAGTGGGTACCACCATCGTTCTATGCTTCCTCACCTTGCTCTATGCTGGCATCAACATGTTCTGCTGGTCAGCTGTGCAGCTGAAAATCAACAACCCAGATCTCATTAGCAAGTCCCAGAACTGGTATCGGTTGCTGGTGTACTACATGGTGAGATTCATTGAGAATGCCTTCCTCCTCCTCATGTGGTACCTTCACAAGACTGACATCTATATGTATGTGTGTGCACCCCTCTTGATTCTGCAGCTGTTCATTGGGTACTGTACAGCCATTCTTTTCATGCTTGTGTTCTACCAGTTCTTCCACCCTTGCAAAAAGCTCTTTAACTCCTCTGTTTCTGAAAGCTTCCGTGCATGGATTAGGTGTGTCCTCTTTGCCTGCAGGCATCAGAAATTCCTCCAGCCAGCAGGAAAGACAGACCAAAGGTCATCTGGAGACAGAGATGAAACACCTTCCAGCAGTAAAATAAGTTCTGTGCCCAGCCAAATATTGAATGCCGAAGAGATCTGCTCTGCTTAACAGGATCGGAGGTCTCTTGGGACAGAGACATCTAGTTTTCTAGGTTCATCCCTGTTCTTCATACCAATAATGAGCCCTGCATAGATAACAAAGCAGGAAGCTAGCTCTCAACTCTTGTGATCCTGTGAGCTTCTCCCATTTATAGAGCTTTTGGGTGTGTGGGAACCACAAAGGGAAGTCAAAGAAAACCTCTGTGTGTTAAAGGAAGCAGCCCAAGGCACCACAATTTGCAAACGACCATGTTCTTCCAGGCATTACTGGCCTTTCACTGACAGTGTATCATAGACTGTTGTCACATTGCAAGACATTAACCCATGGATTCTTAATTGTGCTGGTTGGTTCCATCAAGTAGAATGAAGAGAGGCGCTTTCTTGTTTTCAAGTTTTCTGAACTGTTGGCCTGAGTAGCCTGATGATTTATTACTCTGATCATCGTTTTCGCCCAAAAGCTCCCCTGCTGATCAGAACATGTTACTGGGGTTTTGCCATCAACAACATCATTCATGTTGGAGTTCACAGGGAGGATTGTTCAAGTTTGATTTTTATTTTTTAAGAGACAGGAAGGTCAATTTTCATTTCATCAGGACCCTTTGTATATATCTGGCTGTAATCACCTTGGCATGCCATCTCAAATCCAATTGATTAAAGAGCCTAGATTTGGAGTTTATTCACAAGGATCTGTGAATGTGAAATTGAATTCTAAATTTGGTTATAGAAGTTTCAGAATTTTAGAGAAGTTATATTCCTTAGGTATGCTAAAGAAATTCTGGATCAGAAGGGATGTTAAAACATCAGAATTACAGGGCCTTCTATAAGAGTTCTTACTGTCTCAGGATGGTTGAGTGTATGAATCTCCAAGGAGGTAGACTTAAACCTTCTCAGTGTTTCAAGGTTCAGGCCTGCCCTGCAATTCTGGGAAATTTCTAGTTGAATTTTCTAGGATTTGCCATCTTAAAAAAGAAAATTAAAACTCAAAGTCTTTACTGCCCCCTTCCTTGCTTGCCAGGAATGTTTTAGAAAAGAGTTACCTTGTTTAATTTAAATTTTTATGGAAAACCCCATAGAAATTCTTTCACCTAGTGCAGGTATTAGGGCATTTTAGTTTCATTATTTGAAGGAAAAAGATGTTCTGCACCCCCAGTTGGAGATTGACTTCAAAAACTTCTACATTATAAAAAGAGATGAAATGACCAGAAGATTTTTGTTTTTCATTTAATGCATTTTCATTTGGCATAACTGACAGTTAATTAGAACAAGATCTCCAATTTTATTCTCTTATACCCTTATATTCTCATAATTTCTCCATTAATCTTATACCCTATTTGTTTCATAAAAAGGGTTTGTGTAGCGTATCCTCATTTGTTTTGGGAAGATGCCTGAATCCAGTGCCATCAATTTTACCATTAAAACATTGGCAGTGAAATGCCTGGAAATAGCTGTTAAGATCACACTGATTTAAAGTAAGGATTGCAGGAAAATGTGAGTACTCTACTTATGGACTCAATTTTTACCAGGATGAATAAGGACCCACTTCTCTGACTCAATTAACCTACAAAACATTTACTGGCCATCTTACTTTTGGTTAATTTATTTTTTAAAATTCTTGTTGGTATTGAGTTTGTAAATAATTTCATATCATAAAACAAAATGAAGTTTGATGATCAATTTCCAGTATATTCAGAGATTGATTAAAGAGTAAATATTCTTTCACAGAGAATACATATTGTGTAATATTTTTATACAATCCTGTGAAAATGCTTCTGTAAGCTTCTAAATTGCACAGCCTCCATTTTATTTTTATGAGATTTTTTTTTCTCATTTGAAATTCTCTTGGTTTTATCAATATTGTGGTTTAATTTTATGGAGACATGTAGGCAATAGGTCATTTTTTTGGTTTATTTTTTAACCAAATAGGAATAAAACTACAAATTGTCTTATGTTCTCCCTGTTAGCACATTATATATCACTTGCCCTATTTTAATAGGCCTAAATTAAGTAGTTTTGTTCTGTCATATATAATGTCGCTATGACTTGGAGATGACTCAATGGCATATAACAACAAACAACAACAAATTAAGTAGTGAACATATGTAATCAAAAGGATACTTCATACAACATATACTCCCCAAGTAAATATATGTATATATTCTCATACATGCGTAGATGTACAGTTTTAGTACAAACACCCTTAAAAATACATAACGAGTGTGAATAAAATAAAACTAAGATGTTGAATTGTATTTTTTTTTGTTTATTCCCTAATTAACCAAATTAAGGATTTGATAGCCATCTCAAGTGTATTTTTATGTCTAACCTGTTAGCTCTGTTCATTGACACCAAGTATTTTCAGGCTTTTTTGTAAGAAAAATATCCTTGCCTTGAAGCTTTACAATGGCTGCAGGTCATGACGTGGAAGTAAGGAATAGGAGCAGCCATCAGCCTGTCACTAACCAGGTTGGACATTGCAGGTCAATCAGGGTTGATGGTCTAATGATCTCTAATCACTGAAATTTCTGACCCATCTGTCCAGTGCTCTAATAGACAGTTTGTTATGTTGTTGTTGTTGTTGTTATTTGCCGTCGAGTCGTCCCCGACTCCTAGCAACCCCTCCTTGGGTTTCCAAGGCAGTTATCACTACGGAAGTAGGATTGCCCAACCTTCCTTCCGAGGAGTGGCTGGTGGGTTTGAACCGCCAGCCTCCTGGTTAGCAGTCAAGTGCCTTAGGCACTATGCTACCAGAGCTCCTAGGACAGGTTAAAAATGGTGACATTTAGCAGGAGTCATCAGAATTACACAGGAAGGAGTAGGCTTGTACTTCCCAGACTTGATTTGGAAGACTATCTCAAAAACCGTTACAAAATCTGAACTTGTAAATACATTTTAAATTACTTTCATGTAGAAAATAGGTAAGCATCTTGAGTGGCCCCAAAGCCCAACTTACACATTTGTAAGGGAAAGAAGTTTGGTAACTTAATTGGACATTGTGTCAATTTTAACGATTGCTATACATATTGTCCAGCTTTGAGGAAATATATTCTCATTCCCTCATTCAATCATAATTTCATTTTCCTGCCAAAAGCCATGAAGAACTGAAGATTTTTGTTTTAAAAGTATGTTGTTGTGGGCCGTTGCCTTGATTCCAATTCATAGTAACCCTATAGGACAGGTTAGAACTGCCCTATAGGATTTCCTAGACTATAAGCATTTACAGGGGAGTTCTGGTAGCATAGTTCCTAAGGCACTTGACTGCTAACCAGAAGGCTGGCGGTTCCAATCCACCAGCCACTCCTCAGAAGGAAGATGGGGCAACTTACTTCCGTAGTGATACTGCCTCGGAAACCCAAGGAGGGGTCTCTATGAGTCGGGTCCGACTCCACGGCACATAACAACAACAACAACAGGCATTTACAGGAGCAGATCACCAGATCTTTTCTCCTGTGGAGTAGCTGGTTGGTTTGAACCACTGACCTTTCAATTAGCAGCTAAGAATTTTAATCATTGCACCACCAGGGCTCCTTAAAAGTATAATATACTTCTCAAATGGAAAACTTACAGTTCAGACAGCTGGGTGGGTTGTCCTAAAGACAAACAAACCAGGAAATTACCTCATGTGTTGGGAGTTAAAATATGTATTGCAGTTACAATACCAGTTTTTAAAAATCTCAATGCTTTGTCTAATTAATTACATGCCAAAATTTGTCATGACAGCTGCTCCAACTGAATCACTATCATTTGGCTGGACGGGGGCGAAGTATTTCCTCAAAATAAATTGAAATAAAACTGTTAACAGTTTTTTAGACTTTCTGTTTTTGTTACTGAAGACAGCCCACTATGAAGATTGGGATTTCCCTGTCCAACCCTACAAGTTATTTAATTGCTCTATGCCTCACTTTCCTCATCCACCAAATTTGGATAGCTTACTTGTCCAGCCTACCTCACAAAGTTGTCAGAAAGATCAAATTAAATAATTGGTGAAAATGTTTGCAAATATAAAGTGCCATGCATATTTAAAGAATTGTTATTATACTTCTTCAAATCTGTAAGCAGGTTATTATCCTTTTATTGTTAGAAAAGAAACAAGTAGTGTCATTCACATGAGTGTCTTGAGTGGCCTTATGGAAGAACAGAAGTAATGGTGTTTATTCTGGGAGAGAACTCAGCAGTTGCCAATTCTTACCACCAGTGGTTTACAAAAATTAGCAGACAAACACATGGTACTTGAAGGAAAAAGATCCACTGAAATCTAAGAAAGGGTTTCTGATGGCAAATGAGTTTATCATTTTTGTGTTGTCTTTCATAAATTACACGGCAGCATCTTTTGATAATTATGCTTTACAACTGAATGCCTAATACTGCTAGACTTCCCTTGAATGTAGTTTTAATCTTAGTCTAAAGTTTGTAAATGGGAAAATAAAAGTTACAATTGATTGTCAAATAGAGCATTTCCTTGGAAACCACCTTAGGATATTAGCGCTATAGTTCTGCGTGTATGTGCCTGTTCTTCACAGTCAATCAATTGTGGATGTGAGCTTTTACTGGCTGCTTCTCTGCAGTCATTGCCTCTAATAAATATTGTTTATGTTTCTTCATATGATTAATTATCTTTTCAATTTCTCTTTGCTTTTCATTTTTTATACAGTCCTCACAGGGCTTTTGACCTCAAGGACTATTTTAAAAACTATTTGGAAATAGTTTCGCTTTGATTAATTTTTGCTTAATAACCTTGCCAAAAATGCCTTCAGTAGAAAGAAAAATTTGAGAGTAGAGTGATGGGATTCTGAAACCTCCTCCAGTTTTTGTGTTTTGTTTACCTTTGTTTTTATATAACCATTGACTCCACTCAGCTGCATTGCTCAATACTAAGATTCTGCTCAGTTGCTTGTCAAGTGCTATGGGAAATTCACCAAACTCACTGCCGTGGAGTCTGTTCTGATTCAAAGACACCTCCTTGAGTTTCTGAGGCGGTGTCTCTACGGAAGTAGATTTCCCAGTCTTCCTTCT